AAAAACTTTCAGTCTACGTCCCATAACCCCGCTTTTATGAAATTTTATGAGGTTGGCCACACGCTTTTTGCACCCGATACATTCTGCCCGCACATTCTTTGATTGAGAATGTGGTTATTCTGCGACGCGGTTTCTGTTTTTATAACAAAAAAGAACTGTCGTCTGTGCCCCCTGGCACTACACCACACTTTAAAACCTTAATGGCAGCCCAAGTTCCCGGATGTCTTCCCATTATTGGTATAAGATACCACGCAATCCGAACGCAACCACTCTGGTGTGCGTGTAAAATTATTTCCTACAGCGATTAAGACGGAGTTCTTAGTAACGACTTTTATTTTCCATACACATAGTCAACTGCTTATCTAGTTATCCACAAGCAGGATTCCTCTTGTTGTTTTCTCTTCGCCAGCTGTACTGCATTTGCATTCTTTTACATATCTGATTTAATGATGTGTCGCCTCCCTCTGTAGACTTGTAGCACAACAAAATCGTCTTAGAACTCTTTTGGCTGATCAACTTCAATCCGAAAAGCCTGGAAGTGCCGCGGTTACTATCTCCTCCAGTGACCATGATCCCAGTGAGGAGCCTGAAACCTCTGAAGGCAGATCTAATGTAACTGGCGCCAGCACCAGTAATGGTGATGCTGATAACGTTGGCGTTGAAGGAACTGATGTCAGAGAGGCAGGGGATCCGAAGGTTTCTACTGCAGCCTCGGCCAATGATAAGGTCTTCAATGCCACCGTCGCAGCCCTGAAAGAGGAGGTTTCTACCCTCACTGCCGAGAACGAACGCCTCCAGGGCTTATACTCCAGTATGCATGCAAAGCATCGACAGAATAGTCTTCTGGTAAATCTTTGCCTACGTCTGCGCACCCTGATACCTGGCCCTTTTCGTTTGTGCTTTCTTATAGAACAAGGGGAGCTGTTTTTGTTCGTGGGCTATATAAAAATTCTCGTAGACTTGTATACCTATTTCCGCTCGCTGTGCACATGCCTTTTTATGGTAGTGTCAGAAAAAATTGAGTTCTGGTTATTCACCCATATGTCTTTCCTGCCAGCGTCACAAATCTTACCTTTCTGCAACTTGATTCATGCCACGTTGCGATTTCGACTAGCCTTGTATTGTATTGTTTTTTGTCCGTCATTACTAGTATTTCTGCAATCATGTGTCCCGTGTACTGACCCTTCCCCGCAATTTTTTAGCAAACATTTGTTTTCGGGAATTGATGATCTGGTCACTGCAATTGCGCCGATAATGAAAATGACACAGATAGACAGGGTTATTGAGTGCCTTATGATTACAACTCGTCGTTTTTACGCCACCAGCAGGGCGAGATTAGAATGTAGGGAGGTGGGGGTGAAGGGCTAATTAGGATAGGCTGGAAATATTCGTCATATGTCGAGTTCGTGGAATCAAAATTACTGTCATTTGCACGGAGTGAACAACTGCCAGCAGGGAGTGGGGGTGACATGCGATCGCCACCTGGCGTTGGCATCGCCCACGGAAATGATAGTGCCTGTATTAGCGCCTTCTGACAACACAGCACTGGATTCGTTAGCCGTACAGTCGCTGTCTCGGCTGATGCTTGCACCCGTTAGCGTAGACCCTTGGAAAAGTTGGCTGGTGTCTGATAGACAACCTGAAAGGCTTCAATAGTATCGACTCGATGCTTCCTATCGACGAAGTGTGCGAG